CGTACATTAGCTTGCAAGGAAACCAATAAACTAACCTTCATCAATTTCTCTTCCCTCATTAAGTGTCAACTCCTTGGTTACGAGTCTTTAAGGGAAATAGCCACCTAATCAGGCCATTAAATTCAGCTACACACTCTCTTTCCACTATAAGATTGCTACATGACATTTCACCTTCCTCTACTAAACCCTTAAGCTCTTTGCGCCTTACCAATGTTACTCACACTGTGCATAGAACCATAATTATTAGAATATTACTAAGTATATTAAATGTGAGGATGTGACTTAAGGAGAAAGAAGAGTTAAAAAAAATGGGAATTAAATGTAGGGTTCGTGAAACAAAGTGCATAATTTGAATGGTAAATGTGAGTGGGAAATTTATTGAAGTATTTAAGTATAGGTGGCTGACTATAGATTAGATTTGTGGAGAACAATTCACGTCCCCTACCCTCTAGAACCTCTTCATGATTTAATACATTGAATAAATGTAATTTAAAGATGGCGATTTACTAGGATAAAAATGGAGCATGCAAAGGAAACTAATTTAGAAAAGGTGCATAGGATGAGGAAGAGGTCACTCCCAATGTAATTCATAAAGGCAAGGACCATGTAGAATTAATACGGCTAGTTTATAGGGTGTCATTTTCGTGAGGCATTTAAAAGGCACCAATCATGTATAATTAAAACAAAGAAGGGAGATTGGATCCTTGCCCTTTTGGATTCCCACACAATTTTAATGTAAAGAGGAGGGAATAACTCCCAAGAACATAGGTCGGAATAGATGGACAATAATTATGCTTTTATTAATGTCATTTAAAGAGGTTGTTTCGTGGGGTGTTGGAGAGAGATAGAAAATAAAGTCTTTCGACTCTTTTTGTATTAGGTTCCTAAAAAGAGTAATCTTGGGTCAATTATCATGATAAGAGGAAAGAGGTAATTCAAAATGGAAAAGAGAAAGGTCATGCGTGTAGTTATAAGGGATTCATTATCCATAGAAGGAAAAGATGGAATTTAATATTTACACTTAGAATGCAACTAAGGCATTAAAAGTTTATGCTAGGTATCCTTATAATAGCATGCAGTAATTGAAATAAACATGGATAACAAAAACATTTCTAAATCAAGCATACCAAAATGAAATTAGGGATCAAGAAATAATCAAGGAAAAATAATAACAGGTGTTGAAATAATAGAATGACATCAATATAATATAATAAAAGAAAGAAGAAAAAGGAAAGGAGGGAAAAAAATCCCTCCCCCAAAATATACCAATAGACATTGATTAAGATTCAAAAATCGATCTAAGTTTTTTTAGGATGTTACAGGTTGGTGTTCTGGTTTTGACATTGAAGGTGATTAGGAAGACATAGAGGATGGACTGATCAGTGTAAATGGAGGGATGGGGAGGTTGCGAGAGGTAAGAGATGACTGAATGAGATCATATGGAGTGGGAAGAATATTTTTGAAAGGTTGTGATGAATTTGTGTTGGATTGAGAAGTAGAGGGGGTGGTGCGATAAAAAAAACTGAAGTTAGGGAGATTATTAGTTTATAGTGAGTTTTGGTTATCATTGATGAATCAAAGTAATTTTTGTAAAGGAAAAACCATTTCATTGAATAAAATATTTTGGGAGACAAAATTTTTCCTAGTATTTAAATTTGAAATCACATATCCTTTTGTTTCAATTTAAAAATCCCAAAAAAATATCACATCTAGCAAGAGTATCAAATTTTTTGTGAGAATGATGTGTTGAGGCATAGCACAAATAACCAAACCCTTTTAACATGAAAAAAAATCTAGTTTTTGTTTGTATAATAGTTTAATGAGAGTTTGATTTTTAATGATAGGGGATGGAAAGCGATTTATGAGGTAAACGTGTTTTAAGAGCTCTAGCAACATTAAAAATGTGTTGGTATTTGCTTTCCACCCGACTATTTTGTTAAAGCATATAGACACAACTTATTTGATGAAAAATTTCTTTACATGAAAAAAATCTTGTTGGAAAAATTCAAGGCCATCATCTAAGCAAATGCATTTAATGGTAATAGTTAAAAAATATTTGTGACCATGAATAGAAGATTGAGAAAAGAGACCGCAAATATCCATATGAATTAAATAAATTTTTTTGAAGTTTTATAAATAATTGGAGAATATGACAACTTTCTTTGTTTAGCTAAGTGACAAATATCACAATTTTCTTCAATATATTTTGAAATAAAAGGATAATTAAAATGAAAAACATTAAGATGATTGCTAGAACGGTAACCTAGTCTAAAATGCCAAAGGTTGAAGTTGGTAATTGGTGGAGTAAAAAAATTATTGATGAACGAGGCTCTAGGAAGGGTATGACTAACATCCTTATTGATCTCCAAGTGGTATAATCTATGCTTCAACTTAGTTAAACCAATCATCTTCAATGACTTCATTTCCTATATTTGACAATGAGAATTAGAAGAAGAAAAAAAAGTGTATTTGAGAGAAGATAAAAGTTTAAAAATTGAAAGAAGATTAAATTTGAAATTTGCCACATAAAGAACATCATGAATAATGAAGTGTGGAGATAATTAGATACTGCCTAAAATATGAGCAACAATCACAGAACCATCAGGTAAGTTGATGTGCACAGGTTTGATTTTGAGAAATTTAAAAATTTATTAAAAGAACAAGTGATGTGATTAGTTGCCCCTGAATCAATTATCTAAGAAACATTATTAGGTGTGTGAGTGACAGGAACAGTGGGAGCAGTGTGTGTGTTGGACAAAAAATATAATGTTATGGTGGTGCAAAAAGCAAAATGGATACCAAAACGTATATCAGTAGAGTCAGATGGACCGATTTTGGACACTTGAGAGAGGTTGGCATGTTTGGGCTGAGAAGATGCTACTGATCGATTACCATTAAGGTTGGATTTTTGTTGTTGAAGGAGGCCAGGGAGGCTTTGAAATTGGGTCCTAGTTAGAGTGACGCCCAACCTATTGGATGGGTTGTCCTAAGTGACCAAAAAGTGTGTCTCCTTGCGCAATGTTGTTGACAGTAGCAGAGGAAGAGGGGTTGTCATGATTGTGGAACCACAACCGCCCTGGATATCATGGGTGGCCAGGAGGGTAGTTATGCTTAGCATAACAAATGTCTACTATTTGTCCATACAGCAATAATAGATGCATTTTTTGTTGGATCCAATTCGAGTATTCCCTCTTGGTGGTCCTCTAAGAGCTCCTCCTCCTCGTCCTTTACTGTACACGATTGTCCGACATTGAAGAATATTGGTGTTCTTGTTGAATAACCATGGAAAATACTCGGCTTATAGACGAAAAAGGGTCCATCAAAAGGATTTAGGAATGAATGATGGTGAAATGGTCCTCGAGGCCTTTCAGAAAATGGATTATAAAATCCTGTTGGTGGTAGAGTCTCACGGAACAGGTGCAAACAATGAAGGGGCAAAAATTGTCGAGCTCCTCCCATTGAGATTTCAAAGTTGTGTAATAGTCTCTAATGAGAGCCTTGCTTGAGATCATATATGTCCTCTTAGAGCTTTGCTATATGAAGTAAATCACTCTGAGAAAACTGGTCTCAGAGCTCTGTCCAGATATCCATGGCACAGTCAAGAAAGATGACGCTTTGCGCAATGGATGATGACAACGAGTTCAGCAGCCAAGACATTATGAGAGTGTTACAACACTCCTAAGAAGGATAAACAGGATCATCGACAGCTAGTATAGGTATGGTGCTAGTCAAGAAACCCATCTTATTCTTAAAGATTAAAGCCATCCGGATTGAACGGGACCAGGAATGATAATTGCTGTCATTTAAGGCTAGAGTGATAGAGACAGAATATGAGTTTTCACTGGGATAGATATGGTATAGACTGGAGGGGTCAAGACATGGATCAAGTTGTGGCTGGACAATATCAATGTCACTAGTACTAGAAGCGTTAGACATTTTGACAGGGGTTGAGGAATTAGCAAAACTCCAAAGTGGAGCTCTGATACCATAAAAGAAAAGGTAAAAATAAAGAAAGGAAAGCTCAAAGACAAAGATAATAAACCGATTCTCAATCATTAATTGAAGAAAAATAAAAGTATATATACAACCTATACAGCCTAATCATAAAAAAAATAACAGAATAGAATAACGAAAAGTTACACCTCAACACATTCTAAAAGCCGGTAACAAATTACAACAGTGAAAAAAAAAACAAAATAGAAAAAAAACAAATTTGTGTAGCTGTACAATAGATAGGAATAAATTGTACAATTAGTCTTGTGATCAATTGTTCTCCTCTTCTTCTTTTAGTATCCACCTCTTGAAAATAGAATATGAATATACTATTAAGTTAGGAAAAAATTAGATATCACTGTTTTGTTTGATTTTGCTTCCAGTGTGTGGAAGAATCGTGTAAGCAGACAACGCTAATTATCAACCTATAGTTTGCTAGTGATTCTGCGAAAGGTACACTATATGCCCAAATTATCCTCCTGTAAAAGGCGTCAACAATTTTTGCTATATCTGGGATGTACTCTATGCCGAATCGAAAAGGTACTTCAGAAAATTATCAGAGGATAACTTTTCTTGGTTATTTTTTTTTAAATCAAGAGAATTAATTCATTGAAAGTAATTAATTAATCAAATAAGTAATTAATGAAGAGCTGTAGAATCTCGAGAATACAGTTCCATTTATAACTTAGGGTTGTATGCAGTCCAACCAATTATCCTGACACCTTTAAGGGAATCAACTACAAATTCTATTATAAGTTGTGACGGTGTACAAAGTTGGTGACTAGCACTCCTTAAGCTTCAATAAAGTATTCAGCTTTACTACTTTTACTCTACGATTAGCGACATGCTGTTATAAGCATTTTACACAATTGTTTTCTAACCCATAACTTTATTGCCCATAAAGTTTATGGCAATTTTAGCTATATTTCAGACTGTCTTCGCTTAAACAACAGCTTACCAATTTCGGTAATGTTGGATTGGAGCTTAATAGATTTTGATTTTTTAGACCATATGTCAAAAAATTCTTTATTGATTTTTATGAACTACTTTAATGTATACATGATTCATTAGTTGTTTAAGTACTTAAATTCAGTACAAAATGCCTTCAACTACTACGCCTTCAAGAAAGCATTCATATTGATACATCTGTTGAATACACGTACGAAGTTCAGCTCTATAATCATAAGATTGGACAGCAATGTGATCGAGGGCAAGGGTGGATTATTCGCGCATAGACTTGAAAGAATAATGGTTCCTCTTAACAAAAATATACAGAATCAAATGAAAACAGTCAAAACATATTGAATACATCTATACTGTATGAAAGAAATTTCTATTGAAATCTTTCTTGCCATACCCATTGGGTTCTCAAGGCATGCCATTTTATTTTCCTTATTATTTACTGCAGCTCCCCAACTGGTGCCTCGTTGAGCCACAGGAAATGAATGAAGTCATATAATTTTGCACTAACACTAACCTGTTTCCAATTCAAAGAAAAAAATTCAAAATCACTCAAGATGAAAACAATAGCATAATTTAGAGCAAGGTATGGCCTTAGTGACCTTATATGGAGTTGGGTTAAGTCTCCTCATGTGATCAGGTCGCATTTGCTCAAGTTGCTTAATGCATCGCTCTCTAATATCTCTTAGCGGTGGTAAAGTTTCTGTCTTTTTATCTTCAAAAAAGAATATGCAAATCAATAAAGAAAAGTATAAAGTAACAGTCATAAGTTGCATCTACAGAATGAGTCACTGATAAATGCCTGTACGCCACTTTATGTACTGTAACCTTGTCAGATTGCAACCTTGACTATCTGATGACATCCATTTCATGCAGGAAATAAAAAAATACATTTTGCAGACATAATTTACAGATAAGATGATATCTTCATTTTCTCAGACTAAAGGGATAGTGTGGCAGGTTCAAAAGCTAAAACAAAATTCTAGTAATTGGGCAAGTGAATCACCAGATAGTACTTAAAAATGATGCAGCAGTTTCCTCTTCCTTAAGCAAACAAAACGAAGGTTTTTTATGCTATCAAATATCAATAAGCTACAACTGATCTCCATGATTGTTATTATTCTCTTAAAGGTTAGTTCTCACCTGAACTCCCAGGCCAATAACACCTCAGAAGCTCCTCAACATGCTGTGGCACCACGTATGCCCTCTTGGATTCTTGGAATGGATGGCGACACAGTATTCTTTCTCCCACCTATGAATAAAAGATGATAAAATAATTTTTATGGCTAAATTTGTAAACAACAGATAACCAACTCATTTGGAGGATAGACTGACAAGACATGAAGCTGGAAACTTGACATTAACAGCAACAAGATGAGAATGATGAGAGGCTGTGCGCCTATTATTTGAATATGGCCTAATTTTCAGAACAGAAATATTGGGGTTCTATCAATAGTTGCATCTACATTAACCAGTGCAAATAGGATTTTTCTTCATCCAGCCCACCCTTGAGGAAACCCATATGGATGTGTTTAAGGCACCTCATCAGGGTGCCCGAGAATAATTACTTCAATGTAGCGTTAAAATGAATAAAATAAATGATTGCATGCTTTCACCAAAGGATGGCAGTTTTTCCTTATTAGTATTCGTATAACTCCAAGGTGAACAGAAGTCTCATTGGCTTGAATTCCCTACTTGGCATGCTAGTGAAAACTTATTTAATAGCAATTACTGACATCCCCAACCCCAACTGAGGGAGGGATGCAAACATTGACAAAAAAGAAGGTAGCTAGACAGAGTCAGACAAAAACGTCAAATAATACCTTTGGAGAGGGCTCATTTTCTCCAGTCATTATGTCTACCAAGGGATAACCTTCTTTCCCATACAGCCTATAGGATCGCTTCTTACATGGAATAGAGACCTAATAGAGAATGGAAAAGAGAAAATAAAATAGTTAAATACCAATCAGACAATTGCACTGTCATGTCCAGTTTAGAATGCTCAAACCTTTGACACATCTTCAGAAAGTTTAATGCGAGGTTGATTATTTATCTCAACCAGCTTGAAAACAACCCCCAGAGCAGCTTGAGCATAACACGTAACTAGATTTGTACCAATTCCAAAGGCATCAACCTCATGACCCTGTAGAGAAAATGCAATCCAATCAAAACTTATGACAAGAAACTATAACCTTAGTAAATTTTACCTTTTTGTCAAGATCAATATTTAATATATTTCAACCTCACATGCATGTGTGCACACACAAAATAAGACAAATAAATCTATGCACGTGCAGATAGGACTCCAACATGGTATGAATATTTACTATGAGAACAAGAAAAGAATTTCAAAGAAAAATCTATAAATATTTTCTATTCAATAAGTTAGCAGTAACATATTTAGATTGGTCACTGACACCTTTTAAGCCACTAGGCCTCCCTAGGAAAATAATCGTAGACTTTGAACTTGAGCTTGGGGCTAAAGCTCCATGCTGATTAAACTCGCCTTCACTCCTTGGATGCCCATGGAGCTAAGCCTCATGCACCTCAGCTTCCTTCTTAAATTAAAATTATGTTTTTTCTTAAAATTTTCATAGAAATTTAATTATAAATACTCAATATCTGTTATAGCTACCCACACCCCTTCAATAAACAACATCAAGCTCCCTTGGTTAAATAACTTAGGGTTGTTTAAATTATCCTGAGCTTATAGATCTTTTGGCAATATAAAATATCTTTGGAAATTGAAATTGCGACTTCAGCCAGTAAAATTATGTTAGGATTTCCATCCATTTTTCACACCAAAACTACTTAAATGATTAATATTATCACAATCATGGTAGGAAACCATACTACATGTATAGAAAATTACATATCCACTACCCAGAAGCAATACAATGATAAAATGTACATTTATCCCACAAAACTGTAATTTGGAAACTCAATACACACCAAATATAAAGCAGATTTCAGTAGTATACATATCTGTGAATTAAAACAAGCATCCAGTTAGTTGGCATACCTAAATTTTAGCCAATTTCATAAAATTTAAAATATGAAATTTTTAATAACAACATAATTACCCACTTTTCTATCAATCTTATTCTGTTCTAATTAAATGAGGAAAAATATTACCATAGCTATCCAACCATTTTACTTTACTACATTTTAAGATCCAAATTTATATAGTGGGAAAGATCATTAAACACCAAACCTAATTTTTGATATAATCTGTTATTATAAGTGAAAATGTGTAAGAAATCAACAATTAAGATATCTATCAAGAATAACCAACATACATGTATAATAATTTAAATATAAGAATTTTCATGGGGTACTGAAATACACAATTACAGAATGTGCACACACATAAGCAAAGCAACACACATAGTCACTGCTCAATTGTTCGGTAGATTATGAATCAATGGGCAAAAATTTACAAACTAGCTACAGTTTGCAACACTAATTACCTGTTTGTTTAAAGCATCTAGTGTTTCCTCATTAAGGTCATTACTAGCAGTGATTGACAACTTCCCAAAGTCAGGCACTCCAAATTCCTTTTCAATAGAGCGAAAGAACTTCCTGACCTCACAAGATAAATATGCAAGGTCACCAGAGTCCAATCTAATGCCAACTGCTCTGTATCTGCACATGACATCATGCAAGCTCAACAATGAATGGAAATTGCATGATTCTTTGAGGCTGTGTCAAAGCCAAAAGGCATAATAGTAGAGTTGTAAACACATACCCTAACATTGTTCGCCAAAAATCAAAACAGACAAAAGAAGTTACCAAAAAACCAAAAGCACAAATAACCTAATAGGGACAAAGGATTCTCAACAAGAAAATACTTGCAACAATAAACAGGCAGACAGCATGAGAACATTTTAGCTTAATAATTGAGGAAGAAGTTCCTAATCAACATCATTAATTCATTATGGAGGCTGCCACTACGTCCATGCCACTAGGCACTAGCATTTACTATTGCTAGTAATTCCTCACAAAACATCTGTCTACATACTACTACTACTACTACTACTAACACAACATACTGTTTTTAATTCATTTGCAAAAGAAAAGAAAAACGAAAAACTTCATACCCCAATCAACTAAAAATCAACTGGGAACATTAACTACCAATAAAAGACCCATACTTGTGTAAAACTTATAATCAAGTGATAATAATAACAGAAAATACTTCCTGACATACCCTAAATCACCGAGAGCTAATGCAACTGCACAGAAGTTAGGTATTCCACTTCTTATAACCTGTCGACAAATGCAAATGTAATTAATGAATGCAATTGAAGAAATAACAGAACATAAGTAAAAAGTAAGGAATGAACCCATGTAAAGGTTAGCAACTTCACTACTCATTATCAAACAAACAAAAACCACTTGACAGATGACATAATAACTGAAAATAACAGTTTGTGAAATTGAAAATTTGATATAGCATATAATGATTGGCAGGCAGAAGGGGGAGAGCAATGAGTGTTGCAGTATTCAAGTGTATGAGAGGTATCACATCCCTTATGAACCTTAAGTATGATTTATCACACAAACCCAGTTTCAGTATAATGTCTTTGTATCTCTGCTGTACAAGAACTACCCATTCAATTGAGTTATACTTAATTTATTTGAAAATTGAAGGCATTGACTAGTGATCAGTGTTGAGCACAACATTGCCCACCCATCACCTCATCTAGTTAAGGACATTACTAATCTAAATCATAAGGCAATTCACATGTAATTCTTACACCCAAGAAGATGATCAAGTGGTATGTGTGCTTATGCATCTAGCTGCCACTTAATCCTATGCATATCCTTAGAGCAAAGGCAAATAAATAGTGGGGTAACTCCCGTTCCTTTAACACAGATTTATAATATCACAAACTATTTTCACTCATCTTCCCAGTTATGTAAATCCCCTATCATTTTTTTTTTGTTGGGGGAGGAAGCATATCACATCTTTGTCAGGCAACCATAATTTGTTCACAAAAGACCTAAATGTGGGATAAGCAGCATTTGCCCACAATCATTAAACATGATGGTTAAAATGATGTTTAGATTATACATCAAAGATGGCTTTTTAAGACAGAAAGAAAGAAAACACTTACATCATATGTATCTACAAGGGCAAGAAATCCATCTGGAAATGCCAATGCATACGATGTGAATGCTGCCAACTCACTTTGATTGGTCTCAACAAAAACACCATTTGACAACTGCAGAGGGGAACACATTACAATGTTCACTGATGAATCAATCTTTAATATTATAATAGTGTAAAAGATAAACATGACAGAATGACAGTTATTATTCTCATTAAATGATTTTTCAATTTTTTTCAGAAAGTGAGGAAAAGATTAGCACACGGCATAAGCATGATCTAAAATACCTTTACTGTTGTCTAATTTTTCCAGACTGGATATTCAATTACATTTTCATACAAAAAAATATAAATAAAAATAAGAAAAAATATTCATTCCTATGTAGAACATTTAGTGAAGGATCAAAAACACTTCATAATTCATGTATGTCAATCTCATCAAATCATATCATGTGTAACACAATTAACCCAAAAACTTAACTCGTTAGTATAAGGCCTGAGTGTCAGAGAATGCTTTCAGCTTTCTATTAACAATAATGGCTTTGACAGTTTGACACACCCACTATCAGGAAAAATGTTTTAGGCTTTAAGCAAGAAAAAAACATGAGGTCCATTCAAAACTTAGTGCCAAAATTTAATTATAATTAGAAGAGTGGGTCAGGAAGCATTGAACTTTTGACCAATTACTTGATGGGGCTACCCTACTTCTACAAAGACCAACTAGTCCAGAAGCTTAAGCTCCTAAGCAAAAGCACAGGTATGGTTTTTATTGAAAATCCCAAACAGTTACTATTCTATTACTAATATGTCCTTTCAACCTATCAGGGCATTGCATTAATACGCATACAAAGTTGTTTGCTTGCTGTGCATGTTTTTCTTGTTGACCCAGCCCAAATGTTCTATATGTGACCAAACACCACTTGGGTAAGTGATTAAAGAAACAACCTCAATAGCAAAAAGATTGAGCACAAAATTTTGCAAAGCTTTCTTTAAGAATAGATAATAGATTATCCTTGTCTTTGGTCTTGTTTATCTACAATAGAAATAGATAATAGATTACCACGCATGCATGCCACCTGCTTGAAGTTTTCTTTTATATTTCCTTACACTCTAACGTAAGTCTTCTTTACTCATAATAAAAAGAACAAAACTGAGGCTTCCAATGATCATGACATGGCAACGCAAATCACAATATTTTTTCCAAATGAGTTATTGCACAAGGATGACAGTTTATCAAACCCCCACACCCCACTACAGATACAAAACACACCAAAAAACAAACAAATGATAGTTAAGAACCACAACAGAAAAACAACACTAAGGATGTGAATGTTTGTATCCTGGCACCTGAATTTTGCTAAGCCATATTTGAACCAGACTAACAAAATCATCACAGGTACTTGAACCATCTTTTCTGCGAAGTGACTTGTCTGTAATCTCGTCAAGGCTCTGCACATCATAAGACAGGCAAGATACACACAAAAAAAAGGGTGAGCAAAAGAAATATAGCATAAAGTGTCTCACAAGCTTCAAGTCACATAAAGCATAAATACTAACAACAGAAAATACATATAAAGGAAGCTAGAAATTCGAAGTCAGCTTTGGGACTGAAACTCCCATTTTACAAAATAGGGGATCTGTAGATCACAGGAATCCTGGAAACAATCTCTCCACTTATGGGGGTATGGCTACACATATCTAAACTTATATAGTAATCAATGAGGGATATAAATGTGGATGAATTGCACTGGTTTTAGTTTTTATGACTTAACCATATTCTTGCAGAACTGCAGTGCCTCATTACTTATCATGATAAATAGTGATAAATAAGTTATCATTGAACTTTTTCTTCCAGGACAAATTTCCAATTATACTTGTCATAAATAGTGACTAGAAACAATTAATTCAGTTTTGGGTCTTTAAACATTTTAAAAGGATAGGTTCAAACCAAAATTGTGTCCTTTCACCCATATAAGGAAGATGTATTAAAATTTAAAAATAACAAGGTTTCTTATCGAAAATTCTTTTCATGAAAACATTAACCAAACATGAAACAAATTTTAGTGAGTAAGTTACACACCATGTATGAGCTAACGAAGGCATGGGAGTGAGTACCGCGGAGAGGTATCCCAAATAACTTTCCTGCTGCAACATTGCTATTGTCACACATGAAAAAGGCATGTTATGAAAGAGTTACACAAAAGGGTCGCTGAACCAAAATACAACAGCCAACTCCCTCCACCCTAAAAAAAGAGCAATTTTGCCCTGATCTTTCAAATTGAGCCCCAAAATCTGTAAGTGTAGAATTACAGTGTGAAATCTAAGAGTATGACTTCCAAGTGGGTGAAACCAGATATTACCATATTGTGCAAATAAAGTTTGGGTTTATCAAAGAGAATTGCATGCAAATATGTTACCAAATGTAAGGAATCGGTACAAGGGAACTTAATTAGGCATCTCTCAATAATGTGATTTTTTGTTTGACAATTTTATCCGGTTGTATTTAATTTTAAGTACTTCATTAGTAGAATTACAATTGCAATGACAAAAGGTCAACAATAAAATGATAAATAATTCCAAGTTCTGTCATACAATTCATCAAATAGAGATACAGTCCAATGGGTTGTTCAATGTTTTATGCCATCCAAACCAAGGAATTTCATCATGATAAATAGCTAACTACTATAACAAAGAAATCCTGATATAAGAGAAGAATGTTTTTATAAGTTGACAATTAATGTTGAATTTCAATACTTTTTGGGTTATTGCTTGCAACTTGATGGCATTACTCATGTGATAGAAATGGGATTAGGTAAGAGATGTCACTTCAACTGATTTAACTCTATTGTACCACACACTTTTGAGCTGTGATCAGATTTACCATATTCATTAGAACGATGCTAAAAAAAGTGTAGCATGTGGGAGACATTTTTCTCACATTCAATTACAATGTACAAACTAACAGACCATGTCACCAGAACTAGCCCGGCCATCAAAATCAACAGTAAATAGAGTATCTTTGTTGTTATACATTATGAAAATATCCCAAATTAGAAGCATATTTAATCAACACTATGATAACACTCTAGAAGAGATTAGCATTGCAAAGATTGTAGTCCACAAAACCTCAAGTATGACATCTGCTAGACACACACATGATAATATATATTTCCTTATCCAGATTATACAGCACCCAAATACCTTGTTGCATCAAATCCACCAATATAGCAGTACTTTGATGCTCCTACTCCACCATCAGGCCCCTAAATTGAAAATAAGAATTTCTTTTAATGAATATTGAAGGTCAGTTCTCCCAAAATTTACTAATCAAAGGGTAATTTAAAGAACTTTGTAACCTGAGCCCTTCGTAATCCAAATTCAAGTAGTGTTTTGGACTTTCCAGCAACATTACGATGCCTTGCAGCATTAGTAGAAACTAATGATGCATAATTAATTAGATTCACAAAAGGTGTTTCCAGCAATTGAACAACCTGAACAATATAAAAGTAAATTTATTCTAAGAAATATGTCATCTTTGAAAGAAATCATTATTAAAAGAGGGTAATTAATGGTGGCCAAGTACTCACTGCAATTGGACCTTCAACTCTCATCAGGGGAATCTTAGGAAAAACGACTGATCCCTCAGGGATAGCATATACCTCAACATCAGAGCAGTCAATACTTCTAAGATAGTCAAAGAATCCATCCTAGATTTAATTCATTATAATTAATAAGTCAGAACATTTTAAAGGGAGAATCTACATTAAAATGCTAGCAGCATTAAACTTTTCACAGAATCACAGCACACTCAATCACCAGCCATATTATTTCAGGTTTTCACTTGGTTTTCATCTTTGCATTTAAATCAGCCTAACTCCCACCATAACGAAATGAGGATGCTATAGCTATGGTAAGCACCGTGATTTGGTTTACCTCACAAGAAGTAGATAAACTTTCCTTAACAAAATTGATCTCTTCCTCAGTGAGCCTGAAATTTGCAATGAACCTTATGCATTCTTCCAAACCAGCGAAGACAGTATACTCCCCACCAAAGGGATTCTTCCGAAAATACAAATCGAACCTGAAATCAAAGAACAACCGAATCTTCTCACAATCACACTTCAACATGCCCTTGACCATTTAAAGAACAACTAACTCTAATCGGAGAAACAAGCATAGTATAACCAGTAATTAAAACATCAACAAATAACCGTTGTGCAGCCATATGTGAACCAAAGTGAAGAACAAAACACTAACCCTAAGAGAATCAAACGAGGCAAAGATACCGAAAGAGCTCAATACGGCGAAAATACAAAACATCAATTACTCTCAGTTTCAGTAGCACTTCCTCAGCAACCAAAGGAAAACGAAAAAACACAAAATATAAATGGAAAACAAAACGAAAAACGACAATTACTGACACAGCACGTTCTTGATGCTTGCCAGCTTTCCAGTAAGCATAAGCCATGGTGAATTGGTAGAGATCGTTGAGCAGAGGCGTGACCATGGGGTTGGTAGGTCCATCTATGGCGCCATTCGAAGGCTCCTTGCTGGGTCCGTTCACCTTCGCCTCCATTCGCTAGGGTTCACACAGTGTGTCACTGAGAGTGTTCTTGTGTGGTCTTAGTTTTTTCTGTGTATGGTTTCAAGTTTGTGTTGCGCTGGCTCTTCCTGGCGCGCGCTCTATTTATATATGTGTAGTTGGTTCTGATGCAAGCGTGAGCGTCACGCACAATTAGAGTAACTGCGCCAAAGAGAGAGAAAGAAGTTGTGGTGCTATTTTCGTAGAAGATACTCCCAAAGACCGTTTGAACTTTGAATTGAACTATGAATAAAGAGATAATATTAATAAGACACAGAACCAGGTTGGTTGGTTGGTTGGTTGGTTCGTTGGATGTTTCTTCGACTTGGTTTCTAGGCAAAGGACGGTGTCTTTTGGAATAGCATAAAGGGTTAAAAACGTTGGAATATATATTGACTATCCAGAAAGGAAGAAAATCCACTTTACCACCATTTATTGGGCTTTCTAAATTTTTATTAAACATAAATTTTACTTTTCAGTCATTCTATATGGTATGTTTTAATTAATATTTATCTGTATTTAGTAAAAATATATTATACAATAAAATAAAATAAATTGGTAATACATTAATTTAAAAATTAAATTTTTGTTTACTATTAATAGAAAAATAAACTTGTATACTGTAAACCAATTAAAATACACCGTGAATATTTTTTATATTAATTATTATAAAAATTATTTATTTTTATATGACAATTTATGATTAAATTTTAATATAATTTTTTTATAAAGTTTACTTATTTAAATTAAAATTTTAATAAATTTAAATTTATATAAAATGTCATAAAAATTTTATGAGAATTTTAAATTTAACTATTACTAATGTAATATTTATGAAAAAATCATTAAATAAAATTAATCCAACCCTTATCTTTATCATTGAATATTAGAGTGTTGAAATTTGTAAACGTAATCATAATTTTAATATGAGTATTTTAAAATTCTTTCATTATGTACATCTGGAAATCTTTTTAATTATTAAATATTTTTTATATTTTAAAATAATAAATACATACTTTTATTTAACATTTATTTTATAAAATATTTAAAAAATATTTAAAATATATATATATATAAGATATGACAGTTTTTCTAATATTGATGTTTGAACTCTGTAGCTGCCGGTAAGAATTCTCGAACATATTATATTGTTATGCAATGGGAGTAAGAAAAATTTTATTAATGAGTACACATAAAAATATCAGCACGGTGCAAGAACATATGACAAGTAATAATATTGAAATAGTTAAGAGATATGAATAGAAAATCAAAATAAAGAAACTTCCTACTAAAATCAAAATTATAATTACAAGGAGAAAGTTAATTAAAATTAATAAATTTTATTGAATTTAAAATATTCAGTTATATATATATATATATATATATATATATATATATATATAGTTAATATCATTGAATATGTAGATAAACTTTTAAATGATTTTTTACCTTAACCATTTATTTTGAGTTGTAATATATTTTATGTTTTAATTATTAACAAACGTTACAAACTATTTCTTTTTCCTTTTGTCTACAATAATGTTTTGAATTATTTTATAAACTTTTGTACTGAACTTCAATGTTCAAATCCTGACACTGACTTAAGACAAACTAAAACACAGCTAGATGATGGAACGTAAAAATGACCGATAAAAAAGAGACTTCCTAAATTTAAATAATATAATATGTCACATGCATATGATATTCTTATAAAATTAAAATATAATAGAAATGCAAGCTCTATCTATCTAGAAGTTGTTCGAAATATTAAAAAAGTTATTAATTAACATAAAAAAATATAAAACTTGAAAAAGTTCATGTTAAGGAGCATATTTTCGAGTCTTCCAAGATGAAATGAAGACAAAGTAAATCAAAATATTCAGGATAAAGACTAATTTAGATTAGTTCTAATTAAGAAACAACATACATAATAGAAGATTATAGCAACGGTTTATATGTTAAGAAGTATTCACTAGCGAGTTGGGAAAAAGATTTTTAGTTGATGTTATAAGATTAAAGGAATTTTGATGTTTCATGGGAATTCTAATAAAAAATAAAGTTTCTGAAGCACTTGTCATGATATTTTTGAATAAGATAAAGTTATTAACTAACAGGCTCTAATTAGAATATCATTAAAGAGATAATTGAGTTAGTGTGAATACAATGTTTGGTAAAAAGAGAGGAGCCCATGCACATCTACATAAATAATAATAATAATAATAATAATAATAATAATAAATTATATAACTTTAACATGATTTAACATCTTTTATATGTTTATAAACATTTATGTAATTTTTTTTATTTTGTAATTTACATTAGATAAAATTATTAATTATCTCACTATAATTTTTGACAAAACTAAATGCAAACTCTTGTCTAATACATAACTATGTACCTAAACTCTTAGTATATAAAAAAGGACTACTACATCTTGTTTTAATGAATAAACACGAAATAAACTCATATTTATAATATTTTTATCTATTTTTTTTCCATGTTTGACGATGTGAGATTTGAATGAATAACTCACTTTAATCTAACATAAATAAGTTAATAAATATAAAATATGACAAATTTTATCTCATCAAAATACATTATATTGATTATAAAAGTTTGATGTGAAGAGAATAAATCATACTCACAAAAACTTGAAGATTTAAAATTCGTATAAGGGTTATTGTATGTCTTGTACTACTTTTATGTGAAGAGAGAATAAATCCTACTTACAAAAACTTGAAAATTTAAAGTTGATATAAGGTTGTTTTATGTCTTGTGCTACTAAAAAAATATCTAAGATTGACCTATGCCTTGTAACAATGATAAAATACAATATTTTTTTTTTTTAAGATTCACTAACGATTATAGAATGTTCATTAAGGATTAACAAAATTATTACACCTTTAAACTAGGTCAACCTAGATGAATGACTTCTCTTTGAGTGAAATGCCAAAATATATATATATAAAAAAAAAGAATTATTAATTTAATCTTTGTTTAACTTCCTTCTTTATATTAATTATTAGTGTTTTATGTAAGTGTTTTTATGAAAAAGAAATCACAGCCTTAATTATAGTAGTGCAATTTCACTAATTATGAAGACTTTTCAAGGTATTTGTAAATTTTATTTCGTTTAGTTTTGATTACGTCTTATTTCTGTTCAAAGACTTAACTACTCTTTAAATTGTTTAAATATAATAAATATAATAATTTATTATTAAATAAATTTATTACTTAAAAAGTGTAATCATGTATAAATATTTTAAATTTTTAATAGCATATGATTTCTGTTTATTATAATTATAAATAAATAAAATTATAACATAATATATTAATTTAATAATAACAGAATTAAGAATATAAAAAATATATTATTAAATAACTTTATTATTTAAATATATTTTGGTAGCTCTATTTTTAAATTATAATATATATATATATATATATATATATATATTTATACAGGCTTTATAAACAGCTTAGACCTGACTTATTTACTTAAACAGACCTTAAAAAAAGTTTAAGTCTGGTTTATTTATTAAAAAGTCAAATCAGGCATACAACATTCCGCAGTTATGTCACATTATGCATAATTGCTACAATGTCTTGTACATCATCTAGATCTAATCATTTGAGATATGCAATTAATTATTTAATTATTATACATTAACAAACACTTATTTAAGTGTCTAAGTATCTTTGCAAGTAAATTATCCTTTCATTTCCAACATCAAGTGCACTAAGTGTTGAAGCAACTTAATTACTAAATCACAATTGGCTTATCTTTCTTGAGCCCATTAAAGTTATACCAAATTAATAATAATCAAGATAGAAGTTATGTTATTCTTTAGGTGCTTGTGATATTATTATTCAATCAAAATTAAAATTCTATTTTAAATTTAGTTTACTTTTAATGTCAATTTTCAATGCATGAATCACCAACATAAAATTTTAATTTTTAGTATAGAACAAAACCACAAATACATAAGATATACACGTAAGTTTGTACATTACATTAACTTACCTTTTAGTGTGTCTCTTTTGAATTATTTCTTAATTACTGCTTCAACTTTTTATAATTTTTTTTCTTTAATATATAGTGGTTGAGTGTATATATATAATTCTTATACTTGATCTGAACCTTTCATTTAACTTACATATATCAGATGAGTTATAATTTATTATTTTACTGACCGTTAAATATAAGTTAAATAAAATGCTTAAATAAAGTATAAGAGATAATTGTGCATATTATCAAGAAGAGTTAAAAGACAACTTAAAGGAAAATGTGCTGCTATTATGTAGAAAGTTTCCTATTCTAGAGAGATCTTGCATCTTTTACTTGATTTTAATTTTCAGTAGTTGTATTGAATACTAAATTAATAAAGCTAAAATATTAGAAAACTATTTAAAAATGAAATAATAAATAAGATAAAAAAAAAATTGGTATTCAAGGCACATTATATGCAAATTTTCTTAGACTAATGATAATCATAAATCATGAGCGATCAATCTTTAACACTTTGTGTTGCTATCTCTTACCTAAAAACTATATAAGAAAAAATAAGATAAAAAATAAATTTATATTAAATAATTAATTTTCACAATTCAAATTAAAACTTTAAATAATGAGTTTCAATCCAGCTATTTTCACCCCTGAAGGAATTGATTCCTTGAAGCATTGTACACGTACATAGAAAAAAAGCTTTGATTCAAGTCAATAAAGGAAAGAACACTTACGTGCATTGAATTGGCCATATGCTGTGGGCTTGAGACATCCTAATTAATTAACCATAGACAATTGAATAGTGAAGAAAAAAGAAAAGATACTGGTTTTCTTTCTGCATAGAGTAGCTAAAAGATAAAGTCAAAAAGTAAAATCTATATTCTTAAAAAAAATTTACATCGTAACTTATTGCACATTATTGCAGATCAGCCTTTTTTTTTTCCTTGTACTTTTGGGCGAATATCAAATAAATTTGTAGGTGCTTACATAACTTAAACACCACATTTTGCATTGATTCTCTTTATCTCTTCTTTTGGAGGATAAATGAGCTCAACATCCTAATTTTTCTTTGCAGCATTTTTTTTTTCTTTTACTTTTGGGTGAATATCAAATAAATTTTAGGTGCTTACATGACTTAAACACCACATTTTGCATTGATTCTCTTTATCTCTTGTTTTGTAGGAGGAATGAGCTCAACATCCTAGTTTCTTAGGAAAAAAACATTGAATTTGGTACATGTACAAATTCCTCGTTGTGCCTCTCAATTGATGACTTGCTATGTATGTGTGGATATGCAAAATGTTCAAGTTCAAAAA